ATCGACACATCACTACTGTTATTAATATCGCACGCATACGTATACACAAATTTTCTAAATCATTAATCTTTTATATTAGATATCTAACGATAAGCTAGTCAATTTAACTTGTGATATTACTGCGGTAATTTAATAAAGTTTGCGTTTCAAAACCGAAAAATCATTTCGGCGCACAGTTAAAAGATACATAACATACATAATATAAATTCACATAGAATTATACAAGCACTTAAAATTCAGCTAGACCGTTAAAGACGTTTATTCTTATTATATGATTGTATTCTCATATGTCCGGTCAGATGAGATTTAATATCTAACAATAAGCCTAATTCTAAGAATTCAACATTGTTTTCAAAATTTATACGCATAAAGTGTAAAATTTGTATATAAAATATCATTTACTTTAATTGTAAAAAAGAATTTTTAAATCTATAAGAACAGTTAGAAGAACTTACATGAATATTATTTATATTACTTAGTTAAATTAGAAAAATAAAATAACTTAGTTACCTGAAAAGACAGTTTATATTATACATGCAAACAATTTCGCTTAGAATTTTACGTGGATTTGTCATGATATGTTTATGAATTCTGTAGCACATTGGATTCTCTTTTATCGATTTTTTGCTATGGTTTTTATTAAAAATTTTCACATTTTACATAAGTGTATGCGCCTATATTTAGAGCAGCAGCGTGTCATTTTGCAACCTTGGCGAGCAGCTTGACATTTATTAATTTCAAGTGTCGCGAAAAAATATACTTCCTCGAAGAGCAAATATATGATATAATTAGCAACAAAAATACCTATACATGTACAAATTCTTATGGAGGATCATATTATATCAATTTTTGCTGTATGATTTCTTGAATTAGTGTCCCATCAATTAAAATTAAAATCTATATTCCAATTCTGTAATTTTCAATGACAGTTTGATATTACTGCCGTTGCACAGCTTTTTTACTGTATGTATAATACCTATGCAACAATAGTGTATAACAATATTGATACTGTCATTAAGAATCAGGTATCTGCTTAAATCTCATTAACGACATTTATATGTATATTGATAATAAGAAAAAAAATTGCTGTTTCAAAAAAAATATGAATTGATATAACTGCAAATGTAACGATCATGAGTTATCAAGCAAATATTTGTTAATTTAAATTATTTTGTTAAATATAACAAGATTTTAAATTACAAGATTTTGTTAATCTAAATGTAAATACTTGAACTAAATAATAACTACAAACTAAATTTAGTAAAATTAACAACTTTTTGTCAGTGTACCAATTCCTTAAAATGATCAAGCGAATGAATTACTATAAAAATGAAAAAAGTGATATAATTATGTTATTTTATACGGATGATAATTATGTCCTTTATATTGATAAAAATAAAACTAAATATTCATCAGTACTGATGAAAATAAAACTAGATATTTCATCAATATAAAAAACATAATATTGAAAAGTGGAAAAAATTCAGAATTCTCTACACGTATCGTATTAATCTAAACAAAATAGAAACAATCAATAATGTCCGCTCGATTCTTCTAATACTGAAAATGTTAATTAAAAGAATATTCAGTCAGCGCTGTGAAATTTTAAGTTTATATCTTTGTTTTATGATTCGACTTTTAATACGCGTGATATCCAGTTTTGAATATAGTCTTCGAATTTTCCTGATCATTACAAAAACTGATAGGCGAATTATCATCCAGATCGCGATGTATCATCCAGAATAGCGCCGGGAAAAATAACGTATTGTATAAAATCTGATCGTGAGTGTGGCGTCGGATGATTAGGATGATGTCACGAGTTGTCAAGGCTTGAATCATTCTTGCAAGGTATTTAACTACCCGATGACATCAGACACGGGTGCTGTCAGGCATCAGTGCGTAAATAACAATAGCATGTGTCTGTGTATAGATTATGCAAACTATTTTTACAAATAAATAATACTTATGCAATGGCTTACTTTATTTCAACGTAAAGCGAGAATTTAATTCTCAAGAATCTTCAGTTACGCAAAGTGTGCTTCAAGTTCTTCCGAAAAATAATAAAAATTCTTTTTAAAAAAGGTAAAAAATTCATTTCCTGAGAGATATAACGTAAGAAACAATCGTTATCGCGACACGCAAGATCGATTCTACGGTCGGTGACCGTAGTCGAGATCCGATTCCGAGCGTTGTCCAGCTCGCATTTTCGTCTCAACTCCATTGCTTGATCCCCGTCGACTCGTTTTGGTCGATTACGCAACCGACAGGATATTGCACAAGATCATGACTCCCTCAATACGTGTTTCGACGAGGCTTCGGCGCAAACGATCGTTTATACCTTTTTCGGAGGATTGGCAATTCTCATTCGTGAGTGAATTACTTTCGTGACCTATATTAAGGCAAGCTCTCTTCTGAATACCAAAGGATATACGAGTCCATGCTTTATTTGATAAATATAAGGATACATCCGACTAAAATGCAATTGAAGATATTTTTACGTAACAGGAACGGATAAAATGTCGTTTAATTTCTCGGTTATTCAATTAATAACGTCCAAACACTCATAGAGATGCTCTGAACATAAGTGCTTGGCATTGCACATTCGACGTGCCTCGACATAAATTGCAATATCACAAGTATGCATCCATCAAAGCGAATAAATTCGAGCCTCGAGTAGTGAGGAGAAGTGAATAAAGGTTAACCCACTAAAGCATCCAGTAGTTTATGCGTGCGGGCGAAAGTGCCATGGTGGCCTATTTATCGTGAAAAATAAATACTGGTTTAATTCTATTCGTAGTTGAACGCAATTTTTATCGGCGAATGACTCATCATATTGCGCTCGAAATACTCGTGTCGGAATTTTATCGTGCAAATGACGAGCGATAGTACAGACGACGAGCTACCGCTCGCGATACGAATTTGCGTACGATACAAATTCATCGGTAAAATATTATTGTTTTTATTAGAAGAATTAAAATTGTTACTACATGTACAACGATATCACGTCAACAGATTTAATTTATAATATTTTAGCAAAGTAGAGAAAAGTTGCTGAATGGTATCATTTTAATATTTTTTATTATATTTTCCATTTCGTATTGATTTGTGCACAAATGAAGATTAGAAATTGTAGCTTTATGTTTTAGACATCTATTATTACATGTTTAACTTTTAAAATTAATTTGTTATAATCTAGAATACGCTATAAAAGTACTGTACGATGGTTGTGAGACACTCTGTATATTGTGTGTGTGCGTGTGCGTGTATATTTTATAACAAAATAAAAAATATTAAAAAATCTAAGTAAAAATAGGGAACCAAACAGGAAACTCTTCTCCAATGATCTTGATCTTGATACATATTATTAAGGTTACGTGATAATATGTGTCAAGGTCAAAATCATTGGAATGAGGTTCCTTTTTGGTATATTTATCAAAATCTACTTACCTCAATTTTAAAATACGGATATCAGTCAGGATCTGAAAGACCACAATTTTATATTAATACACTACACACAATTAAAATTTACATTTTATTATACAGGTTCTGAGTAACCTCCGACAAGTTTTATTAGTCGATCGTTATTCGCTAAAAAATTATTAATAAAATAATTTTTATTAAAGCAACGTAATTAACAAAAAATATATATTTCACTATAAAATATATATTTTACATATACTCTTATATAATTTACGTAATGCTGTTCTTTTATGCCAAAACGAATAAGGAGATATTTCACGCGAAGCGAGATCCACTTCATCTTCCCTCTCCCTACTTACGGGAAAGTCATTCGCCTCTGAGGATATTCTAGAAAGTCGAACGCCTCTAAACAGGGAGAAAAGGGGGTGGACCTCGCGTGAAAAGTTGAACGTCCCTTGGCGAAGGGGAGGTGTGGGGGACCTCGCTTTCATGAAAAGTCAGATCCCTCTCTAAATATACTGTATCTATATATATCTATATGTATATATGTATAGCAAATTATTAGCGAATTCGATTGGACGCATTCAGTGCACATTGGTATACATTAAAGCCATCGTACAGGTTGACATAAAAATGTGTGTTTAATATATTATAGTGTGTTTATTATATTATTAGGAAAAATGTGTATTTTATAATTCGAAATATTTACATTTCACTTTTACACTAAAATAAAATCATTACATACAACGATTTTAATATGGATTTAATGTGTACTAGTGCTCAATCGAATTCGCTACGGTCTTTAATATTAATAAAAGTTAGTCAAATTTACATATATTAAAATATGTTATAATGTTTATAAACATTATATTCTTCTTATTAATTCATTTTATATATACACACATACATATCCATACATTACCTATAATTTAAATTCTTACAAAATCATTTAGAAAGAACCAAACTGTTATATCTACAAAATTTATTTTAAATTTATTTTAAATTATAAAAAGAGACTTCTGAAAGACTCCTTAATTAATCTTTTAATATAGTTTAATGGAAATTGAAAAACTGAGAAAATTTGTTTAACACTCAATATGTTAATTACCTTCTAGCCAATCGGATTAGACGCTTTGTACGTGAGAATCATACGTATGCGTGCATAAGAGACGTTTTCAAGGGAGGTTGCTGCACGCTCCTGGGGGGTAGGACACGCGAGGAGGCGTGGCGATAAAAGCGGAAGTTAAATCGTTAAATTTCGCTTAGTTTTTTTCCATGAGTTTCACGAGGCTGGCCTCGTGGAAAAATTTATTATTCGAGACCTGCCGATATTCCAAATGCAAAGATTATTTTTTAACATCTTTACAGTGTAGTAATTATTGAAAATACTATTTTGTTTAAAGTATCTGTATTTAGATATTAATATAAGAAAATATAAGATAATAATAAAGAGAAAATATAAGATAATGTAAGAAAAATAAAAAAAAACACATTTTACTAATAACGCCCGATTATAAATTTGTATAACACATATCTCTCTTTCATCTTTATACTAAAACATATGCTTCTTTTAATTTCAGCGAAGGTAGAGAAAAAGTACGTGTCTCGTTGTTAGGTCCACAACCATCACCGGCGACGCCAGGTGTTCTCTTGCTGGAGCCGATCACGCATTCGACAGGACTCCCGATCAACATGGCCAACAATCCTACGGAACTTCTGACCACGCACACTGAGCACACCACGCCTGCCTACCACACGCAAATCAGGTAAGACAAAATCTAGTCTTACAAATAAAATCTTAATCAACCGTCAGAGATTATGAGATAAATTAGAACATCGCCAAATATTGAAGAAAATCAATTAAGAATCATTTTTGAAAGGAAACGCGCCCCACGCGATCTAATGAGCTTCTGATTCTTTCTTCATGAACGCAAAATTTACGAAATTATTGGAAAATAAATTAAGCATCAGAACAGGGAGGGGAAGAGACGTTTGAAAATCATTGAAGATGGCAAACATCATCTCCAGAAAGGATATCTTAATTCTTCGTCTCGTTGCGATGAATTTTTTGATGATTTTTATCGTTTTTCGAGGCATTATTTTGTCGTGAATAAAAAAAAATCTTAAAATTATTAGACAATAAAGGAGTAAAAAGAAGAGCAAAAATTATCAGAGATGAGAGACACTGTCTCCAGAATAATTAGCCTCCCATGCACGATTCGCGACCCTTGATGATCTTAATGGGCCGGAAGTGACGTTCTTTTTTCTCTCGGCTCCATCGCGCCCCTCTATGTCTCTATCGACGTACTACCGCACTACCGAACTGTTTACGATGATTCTCCGTGGTTACTGCCTGTTCGTGGTACAGTGTAACTATTACGCATTAAAACTGTCTCTACCGCTGTCGACATTACGATATGCCGTCTGGCCCGCACACGTTACAAGTAAATTCCCAACGATTTTCTTTTGTTAAAAGAGAGATAATATATGAGTTAAACAATAGGTAAAGATGTTGAGCACCTATATTTAATAGGTGTTCATACTATATTAAATATAAATTCTAATTAATTATGTATATATTTAATTATATTTGTATGTAACACATACATATATACAATACTGATATACATATAATTTTGATCCAAAGTTTTCAAATTTCCTTACAAACTTTGTATAAAATCTTCAGAGTAATTCAGAATCACGTAATATCAATGTCTTTTTCGAAATAATTCGGATCTTGTGATAAAAATTATATTTATTTCAAAACTTCGTTATCCTATGTGGATGTTATTTCTTGCGTTTATTCTTTGCAGTATTATCTTAGCGAATCCTCATTTGGTTCTTATGTAATTCCTTGAAATAGACGCTGAAATGAAAGAGGAAGAAGCGTCAAGAGAATCAGTCGAATTACAATACTATTCTGTTGTCGATTTAAACTTTTTTCCTACGCAACTCTAAGACCGCTATTTCATACAATTATTATTACAAATTTCATTTGTACGTTTTTGTCGTATGACAAATTTTTTAAGCCTGTTGATTAGCTATAGGATAGAGAATCCTCTCACACGTGTTGTTGTACAATAAAAACGCACAAATAAAATAGCACCTAATCTCTTGACACTCGATTGCACGGTTCTACAGCGCATTATGCTTATAAAAAATTAGCAAATAAAGAACATTACATTTTTTACCTGTAGCGAATTTGATTTGCGATGATGGAAGATTCAGGTTAATGGGATTATAAACATTATTACTCAGTAGAATGTTACGTAAAATCGTGCATATGTCGTACGAAGTCTCTAATTGCTAATGCAAGCGAACATACGTCGTGTTTGCGACGAAATCTATCTGCATGGAATCATCGTATGTAAAATTCCTCAACGAATTTGTAATTTGTATAATTATAGATTTGTTAAGGAATTTGTGTATTCATATAATTCACAATACTGCAATCATATAAAAATTGATTTAAATTAAAATTTACGTTTGCATAATTTACTCGTATATATATATTCCAGCGAATACTTTTGTATTTATAGAAATTAATGAAGAAGGTTAGCTTTATACAAAATTTCTCGTTGAATATCTAAAAATTTTAAGGAATTTAATAGAATTTTTACTTCTTTTCTTTATGTGAAAGAGACATGATTAATCGATATTCATATAAGCTATTCATATGGCTGTTCATATAAGTTTTATTGGACATTTTCAATATTATGATTTCAATAATGCAACGAGTTTAGGTATCGAAACTTTAAAAGTCGAGGAAATATAAAGAAAAATTTGGATCGGAAAAGCCCTGGTTTTGAATTTTCATCGAGAAATCTGTAGACGAGAAGAATACACAAATCTATACCTTCGGCACCTGTACATCCAGGATGCACCCTTCCACTCACCCTATCCATCAGCGTTACTATTACCCAATCGCGTTCTCACGTATACATCGCAGTTTCTTCATCCATTCATACACACGCCTTATATCACGGTGCATATAATCGGGTCCGAGCTCAAGTTAGTTCTCCACCGCCGCCATCGCCTCCACTATCACCTCCACCATCACCTCCACCATCACCTCCACCACCACTACCGTCAGAGTACCACCAGTACCACCACCATCTCAATGCACTAGCCTCGCCAAATCGCTGATACCAACGCAGCAGCGCCCGGTACCGGCACTCCGTTCCTGATGCGCGCGAGTACCAAAGAGAAGGGAGCAAGAAAGAAGGTGAGGGGCGCGAGAACGGAGGATGGCAGAGATCGATATAGCGTGGGTGGATGTGCAGAGGTGCGGTGAGGCCGCTGCCGCCAGTCGTGCTGTCGGCTGCATCGACGGACATTCGTGCGCGCTCTCTTTTTCTCTCTCTCTCTCTGTCTCTCTCCGTCTTTGTAGTACCCGCTTCTCGTCGGTCAGTCTCTTTTCCTCTTCCACTCTGTAGCTATCTCCCTCGTTCTCTTCTGCCTTTTTCTCGAGCTCCCTTTCTAGCCCTTCGTGTCATCCCGCATGTCATCGAATGCAGCCGAGCAACGTCGATCCTCAGGATCGCATCCCCGATGATACAGTGATAACGCGATCACAACAGTGTGATAAAGCCGATGATATGGCACAGTGAACAGTGCGGTGATTCCGTATAGATCTCTATTGATTGGGATTAATCCGATCGGGCTCGACGAGTGAGTCAGAAGGATAAATCAAGATCCATAGATCTCTCGATCGTTTGATTTTTGAAATCTCTGTTCTTCCTCTCTTTCTCTCTTCCCCCCCCCCTTCTCTCTCTCTCTCTCTCTTTATTCAACACGTGCGTGGGCGAGGATGCGTGTCACGCGCGATTTTTCTCGGGGTTGCGCTGGGAAAATTTATTGTAACTTGTTGTAATCCCTTAATGGCCATGCGATCAGACCGCAATCTGTGACGCAAAACGCGCGACGCGACCTCGCAAATAACGAATGCAGTGCTCTAGTGAAACCAGTGTTTTTCTTCTATTGCGTACTATTTTACATACTCCCCACGGAGTATGAAAATACAATCTTTAATCGCTGCAAGGTCCTTGTTGAATAAGTGGAAATCGTAGGATGCCGATTGCGAAACGCGACGAAGGACTTCGGGCATAATGCTCATGAGTTAGAATTTTTCACCTCTGTTTTTTTTTTTTATATTTTATTTCTTAGTGATAATTTAACCGCAAATTTATCTCTTATCTTCACAAAAAACTGATACGTAATTTTGTGTTTATCTATACATACAATGCTTAATTCTTGCAAATCGTCTTATATTGGTAAAGAGGCCGAAAAATATATACGAAGAAAAACTCGCGCGTACGAATCGGCTCTCCTCCCTCTCCGATAGAAAGAAAAATAATAAATCGTTTGCAATTATTGACTTTTCCGCATGCCATCTTGCTTTCATCTGAATATTTCTAGCGGCCTATACTTACTACGCGTCATTTTCTCCGTTTTAGCTATGTTATATAAATTTTCTTATTTTCTTTATATAATTTCGCAGCAACTACTCCAATATTCAATCATTCCAACTGTAACGTATAATGTATCTTATTCGTGGGGTTAAAGGTCAATGCTCGACTCGTTTTTTAAATTGGCTTTGAAATAAAAAAGCTGCAACTTTTACGAACATACTCTCTACTTCATATCGTAGAAGCTGTGAGACTCGCGAAATTTGGAGTAATCCAAATGCGTCCAAGTCGAAGTGGAGCGTGCCAAAGATTGTGGCCGGAGGACTTTGTCTTCGGAAACCGTGACCTGCCTTAGAAAAGTTTAGAACCTTACGGGATACTCTTCGTCACGATCACCTAATTACCTAATTAACCGAAACGTATTGAACAGTTGCCAAAGCGAATCTTGTTGATCTTGAATTATTAATCTAATGGCATCTAATCTATATTAATTTTGTTCATCGTAAAATCACTGTGTATTAACATATCATGGTAATCTTTTCCGTGAAGAATTAATGAATCTTAAGAATTTATAAAAAATTATAAATTATTATTCATATTAATTTGAAGAAATTATTTTTGATTCGTTACGATAATGAATTTTATTTTACGAGTCAGCTTTTGAAGTCTTCTACAATTATGTTCAGAGTAACCTTTGGGCACGTAGTTTTATTGCATTTGCTTTCGAGCAACCGTCTCACGTTCATAAAGACTAAAAGCATATTTACGAGGGCGTGTCGCACGTAAAACGATGCAACGAGACTTATCTCGAAGAAGTGAGTAGGTTGGGACAATGGCGGCGATCGTGGCGTAAATTTTTCAACGGGTCTTCTTTCTCTCGTCGCATGTGTGAGAAAAATACGCCGTCTACCATAAACTGGATAATAATAACTCATCCTCATAAATGCGCGCTTCAAGCAGTGCTTGTCAATAATAAATAGATTAATGAATAGATCAGAATGTACCTGTTAATATTCTTGTAAGCAATTGAGCTTTTTTGATTACATATAGTACAACTTATGTTTAAATTTAATCAAATTGCTTTATCATTACTGACGAACCATCATTTTTGATTACTTAACAAGATCTTTTCAAACTGAATTTTAATTATATTGTTGAAATGTTTGAAAGTTCCAAAATTAATCGGAATGGATTGACACGGTGCGGCGTGTAGTCGAGCAGTTGAACCTCATGACATGATTTTTGCCCTCGACCTCCTCATCTGAATGACGCTCGCTCTCTATCTCGTTGATCTTCATTAAACTTCTTCACGAGAAATTTAGTCGTGCAGGTCCTCGCATTATCGTCAATTACCAATT